ACCAATATTTTTAGAAAAACTGTTTATCTTTCTATAATACTCAATTATAGTTTTGATATTTCATTAAATAAATATTTTTAGGTGTTTTTTTTAAGTGGTGCCGAAATTCTTCTACTTTACCCTATAACAGAATTTTAAATAATGCAAAATAAATTTATTAGTTGCCATGGTTACCGAGTAAAATAACAGATATTCAAAAATTTTTAGGCCACCCCGGTAAGCGAAAGCCTACAGGATATGATTTTTTGGCATATGATTCACAACATAGTAATCTACAAACTGAACTAAAATTGTTCTAAAAAACAAAGTATTTAAGCTATGCTGAGTTTTTCAAAATGGCGTATTTAAAAAAATACATTTTTGTGAACTAAATCTTGTGTAATTCAAAAGCTCCTAACAGTATTGTAAAACTTTTAGTTCAAATTGTACAACTAGATGCAATAAACATTTGGTGAAAATTTCATACAAATCTGACCGTTAATGAGATAGGATGGCCGGGAGGTTAAAAATTGACAATTTGAGAAAAAAGCATTTAAGGGGGAAACTCCCTTTAAAATCAAAAATTTAGTATGACCGTTTTTAGACATAAAAATTACCATAGATTTCATTTATGTAATTTGTTTTTCATAAAAATCATTCTAAAGTGCAGAAATTTTAGCTTTTTTAATGGTAAATTGATGCTTCGTTATATCAAAAGTGTAATTTTTTGGTCGTATTTGAAAAAAAAAAAAAAAAAAAAAAAAAAAAGCTTATGTGAAATGCCTAACTTGGGATAGGATGCTTCATTCTATTAGACTTCTTGTTCAGCTAAGCAAAAGTAAGCGAGATTAAGAGACAAAAACAAACTTAGATTAATTTTATTTAATTTAACAAGAATGCCAAAAAGTTGTAGAGTAAAACGTCGAACTATTATTGTTATGAAAAAGTATAGATCTTTTCCAGTTAAAAAATCATTATTTTATGAAGAAGTTGTTGTTGATAGTGTAAATAAAGAATCTACTCCAATTGTAAATATTTTAATTAATAATGACACTGTGATTCACTGTCTGAGTGACGCTTCTGATAATATTGTAAATATTCCAGCACCACATTCAAAAATACGACAAATTGATGTAGTTGAATCTTGTACTCTACTGTCTGGATATAGAATTATAGATATAGAAGTGTTATTTGTTATTTTTAAAGAACTCATTTGTCCAATGTGCTTCAATGAAGACTCTCTTGTGTTGTCTGACAACTTAAAAGATCGACATGGACTTGCTCCTTTTTAGTTTTAAAATGTTCAAATTTTTTATTTTGCAAAAATTTTTTTACTATTTAAAAAAGTGGTAAGCAGGGATACGACATAAATAAGCGAGTTATTTAGACAATGCGGTCGTTGGGTCAATGTCACGCAGGACTTGAAAACTTCACTTCTTTTATGAATATTCCTCCGCCAATGACTACAAATAACTAAGACAAGCTTGCTAAAAAATCTCTAAAGTTGTGAAAACAGTAGCAATAGAGACTATGTGTGATGCTACTGCAGAAATCAGACACGATTCGAATACTGATACTGTTGATACTGGTGTTTTATGTGATGAAAACGTGTAGGTACAAGATTAAGAAAGTTAAAAAAAAAACTGAAAACCTTGGTGGTAGAGGTAAATTAACAGATGCAAAAATTGATCCGTTATTTTGGTATTACAATTAGAGCTAATGTATTGTAATGAGATTTAGCATCTATGAAACCTGGTACTCTGGCATCACTTTATTATTTTGCCTCCAACAAGAAGAATAATCTACATTTTTCACATTGCCCAGTAGGAGCTGATAATTGGTGCAAATATAATTCAGGTAAAGCCAATGGTACAACTTAAAAGATACTTATAAACCTGGACCAGGTTTACCAATAGCTATTGTTTATAAAATCAAACCAATCTTTGCAGAACTCAGTGCTGACCAACATTTGGAAAAGTGCTTACATGGTAAGACACGAAATACTAATGAAAGTTTTAATGGCACTATCTGGGAATGTTTACCTAAAATGAAATTTATATAATTTAGTCAATTAGAATTTGGAGTTTATGATGCAATGGTTAATTTTAACATTGGTCGAAAAGCCTCAATTTTAGTTTATGAATTTTTCGAAATAATTCCAGGAGTATATACTCTTAAAGGTTGTAAAAAAACTAAAAACGACTATCACATTCCAAATATATAAATATTGATAAAAACAAGTTGCGACAAAAAATAATTTATGGCAAAAAACATAATAAAAATAATAATGAAAAAGAAAAAGAAGGGAAGTTGTATAAAGCAGGAGGTTTTTAATACTTTTTATTAGATATTTTAACTATAATATGTGTTTTACTTAAAGTTTCAAAGTTTTATATGCTAATTTTTTTTTCTTTTCGCATTTTCTCAAAATAGTCTTTTTTCATACGCCGGCCGTTTTATCTCAAGAAACGTTTTACCAATTTTGATGAAATTTTCTGGAGTTGTTTCTATGATTATAAAC